CGGCAACTGAAACGATTACGATTCGACTTTGACGGAAACGATTTTGATCTTCGACTACGATCTTTCGATGATTCGATTTTGATTTTCGAAACGCCAAGATAACTCCGTTTGACGGAAATTGAAACCTTTGATCGATTTCGATGATGGACGTCGGATTGATTATCCATTTCGATGATTTCGACGAAAGATTTCGATCGGAAATTTTCGACAACGTTCGATTTCGATCTTTGATTGATTTCGATTGATACGGATGATTTGTCGACTTTTTGATCTACGATTTTGATTTTGATATTTGATTTATCTGATTTTTGAATATCGCATTTTCGATCTCGATTTTGAAAAGACGGATGATTTTGATGACGATTTCGATTTCGATTTTGAAATTTCGATTTGATTTTACGAATGAAACGGAACGGATTTTGATGACGCGATTGACGGACGATTTTGAACTTTTTGATGATTGACGAGTGATGATTTGATTGATTTTGATTTCGATGATTTTGAACGGATGATTTCGATGATTTTGATGATGAAAAGATTGATTTCGGATGATTTCGATTTTGACGGATTGGATTTCGGATTTGATTTTGATTTTGAAATTTGTTCGGACGACCTTGACGAAATTTTGATGACGGATTTTGATTTTCTGATGATTTTGATTTCGATTTGATTGATTTCGACGGAAGATTTTGATTTGATGACGGATGGATTTTGATTTTGATGACGGATGGATTTCGATTTCGAAATGATTTCGATATTTTGATGATTTCGATTTTGATTTGATTTCGATATTTGATGATTTCCGATTTTGAAATTTGATTTGACGGATTTCGATTTCGATTTTGAAATTTTGATGATTTTGATTTGATTGGACGGATTTTTCGATGGATTTTTTGATTTTGACTTTGAAATGGATTTTTGATTTTGATTTTGATGATCTCGGATTTTGATTTGATTTTGATGATGGACGCGGATTTCGATTTTTCGATGAAAGAGATTTCGGATTTTGATTTCGATGATTTTTGATTTCTTTGGATGATTGATTTGTACTGATTTTGATTGATTTCGATTTTGAAATGGATTTCGATTTTGAGGATGATTTGATTTCTGAATTTTGATGATTTTGATTTTGATGACGCGGATTTTGATTTTGATTTCGATTTTTGAATTTTGACGGATGATTTTGATTTCGATTTTTGATTGATCTTCGATTTTATGATTATTTACTGATCTGCGCAGGATGGATCTTTGATTTTCGACATTTTGATTCTTTGAAATTTTTGTTTTGATCTTTCGATTTTGATTGAGGAATGCGCGGACGGATTCGATTTTGATTGAAATGCCTGATTTGACATTCTTTGATGATTCGCGATTTCGACATTTTGATTGCGGATTTGATGATTTTCGATTATTTGAACTTCGACTTTCGATTTGAGTTTTTTCGACTTCGACATCTGATTTTGATTGAGAAATTTGATCTGATTCGACTTTGACGGACGGATCTGATGAAACGATTCGATTTGATGATCTTTGATTCGACTTTGATCGACGATTGACTTCGATCTTTGATTGACGGACGAAAAGATCTGACTTCGATTTTGACTGGAATTTTGATTGATTCGATTTGATTTCGAAACGACGACTTCGATCTGAAATTTGATGACTTCGGAAACGAGGATTGACGCGGATTTCGACGATCTTTGATTCGGATTTTCGACTTGACGGATGATCTCGATTTTGATTGAAATTCGACGATGATCTCGATTTTGAAATGACGGATTTTCGATTTTGATGATTTCGATTTTGACTTCGATTGATCTCGATACTTTGATTTGAAATTTTATTGATTTCGATCTGGATCTTCGATTTTCGACTGAAAGATTTTGATTTTGATTGATTTGAGGAAATTCGATTTTGATTGAGATCGATTTCGATGAAAAAGATTCGATTTTGATTGAAACGATGATTCGATTTTGATTGAGGAAAGACGGGATTGATTTCGATTTTGATTGATGGATTCGACTTCGATCTTCGATGAAATCTTTGATGACTGATCTTTCGATTTTCGATTTTGACGCGGATTTTGATGAAAAACGATTTCGATTTTGATTGAGGAAATTTTGATGATTTCGGATTTTGATGATTTGATTCGATTCTGATTGATTTTGATCTGATTTTGATTTGATTTTGATTGATTTTGATTTCGACGATTTCGGATGATTTGATTTTGATGAAAATGATTTCGATTTTGATTGATTTTGATTTTGATGATGATTTGATTTGATTGATGCGTGATTTTGATTGATTGATTGATTTGATTGATTTTGATTGATTTTTGATTTTGATTTTGATTTTGATTTTGATTTTGATTTGATTTGATGATTTTGATGCTGATTGATTTCGATTTTTGATTGATTTTGATTTTGATGATTTCGATTGATTTTTCCTGATTTGATTTTGATTTTTGATGCGAGAATTTGAGCGGATTGATTGATTTTGATTTTCGATTTTGATTTCGATTGATCTGATGATTCGATGTTTGATTTCGGATGCTGATTTTGATTTTGATTGAGGATTTTGATTTTGATTTTGATGACGTGATTTGATTTCGATTTCGATGTTTTGATTGATTTTTGCTGATTTTGATTTTGATTGACGGATTTTGATGATTGATTTTGATGATCTGCAAGGTTTGAAGCGATGGGATTTGAACGGATTTCGGATATTTTTATTTTCGATGATTTTGATTGAACGCGGATTTTGATTTTGATTGACATTTTGATTGTTCGACATTTGACGCGTTGATTCGATTTCGATTGAACGCGGATTGATTTGACTGATTGATTTTGATTGAAACCTTCGATTCGATTTTGATTTTGATTCGATTTTGATTCGATTATCTTTGACGATTCGATTAATTCGACGATTCGATTAATTTGATTCGATATTCGACGATTCGATATTCGACGAAACGGATCTTCGACGATTCGATCTTTGATTTTGACGGATCGATCTTCGATTCGACTTCGATTCGACGATCGATTCGATTTCGATCTCGATTTCGACCGATCGATCTGATTGTTCGACTTTTCGATCTTTGATTGTTCGACCGGGATGAAACGATTCGATATCTTCGATCGATTAATTTCGACGAGGAAACTTCGATTTCGATTCGATATTCGACGATCTTTGATTGTTCGACCGGATGAAACTTTATTCGATATCGCGCGATTCGATTTTATCGAGGAAACCGATTTGATTTTGATCTTTCGATCGACGATGAAACGATTCGATTCGACCGGATGAAACCTCGACGGATTTCGACGGATCGACGATCTGATTAATTTTAGATCGACACTTCGATTCGACATCTCGACCGATGAAACGATTCGATCCTCGATATCTTTAATCGAGAAACGATCGATTGATCTTTGATTGTTCGACGAAATTTCGAAACGGATTACGATGACTTTTGATTTTATCCTTTTATCGATGAAATTAATTTCGACGACGACTACGACTTTATGACATCTGTTTGATTGATATTTATGATCGAAACGACGATTCGACTTTTAATTTCGACATCGATGATCTCGATTTGATCTGTTCGACGATTCGACTTCGATCTGATCTGATTACTTCGACTTTTAATTTTCGATTATCGACAGCGATCTTCGACACTTCTTTATCTGGATTGTAGATCGACACTTCGACTTTTATCGATCGATGATTTTGATTAATTTTCGATTCTCGACATCTTTTGATTCGATTACGCGATCTCGATTAATTTTCGATCTTCGATTTACGATCTGATTGTTCGACGACCGACGATCGATCTTTGATTAATTTTGATTAATTTCGACTTCGATTAATTGATCGATATCTTTATCTTTGATTTCGACGACTTCGATACCGATACTTTGATCTGGATTCGATTTATTTAATACTTTTACCGGAGAAAATTCGATAATTTTGATCTTTGATTTCCGGATTTCGATTAATTTTGATTGAGTTTTATTCGATTATGACACTTTACCGATGTTTGGTTTGATTGATTTTGTCGACTTTATCGATAATTTCGATGACGATATTTATCTTTATTTATCTGTTTATTGATCCGACGGATTAATTTCGACAAAACAACGGCAGCAACAGCTTGCCGGCGTTTCACTCCGTTGAACAGTGACGTCCCGCTCTGCAGACTGATCAATCTTGTGTCTTGGGCCAATCTTGGTCACGTGGCGTCAAGGCTGAAATGATCGAGCCATGTGATTAGCAGAGGGGGCAAAGAAAGAAGTAATAAGTTTTAACTGATATTAAATCGCCTATCAGATCCCATCTCTAGCGACCAATCTCATTACCATTCCGATTTTACTGATGACATTATTGAAGAAATATTACCATGGCAACTGTCATAATGTAATAGAGAAAAAACATTTTACATTAATTCTTTGTTTTATTCAAGCAGAGACCATATAATATTATATGGTCTGATTCAAGCTTGTCTGAAGCAACATTGTTTTCTGTGGTGGCGGAGTGCAGTGCAGCTATTGTCGTTCACAACATATGTTACATCTATACAAGGCCTTTGTCAATTTACAACATATGTTACAGAACTGAAACGATCGCAGAATAGAGCGAGTCATCGTCTCGTGATTATGTCCGTTATCTGCTTGGGAGACAAGTAAATACTTGGCTTCACATAAATCACCGTAGCTTAAGTGTTTTTCATATCCTGTATAGAGAGAGGAGATGGTAACCACACTATGTTTACAGATCGTGTCCAGAGATTTTAACTAATTATCGTCGTATTATTGTGGCCGTGAGGCTTAAGTTACTTGTACAATGCCTTGTCCCCTGAGAGCCCCACCCGTCCAGGTGAGATGGAGCATACAGACCCTTATCGATCACCTGGAATGGTTGCAAATCCCGAGAGAACACTAGAAGGTAACGCTCAGGTGCGCTAGGTACATCTCTAGGTAATAAATAAGTCCACCATGCTATTGCCGCTGGGGGACAGGCAATATACACGTGAACAACATCTTGACTCCGTGGGGGGACAGACAACATCGTGGTTCTGTGGGGCACAGGCAATATACACGTGAACAACATCTTGACTCCGTGGGGGGACAGACAACATCGTGGTTCTGTGGGGCACAGGCAATATACACGTGAACAACATCTTGACTCCGTGGGGGGACAGACAACATGGTGGTTCTGTGGGGCACAGGCAATATACACGTGAACAACATCTTGACTCCGTGGGGGGACAGACAACATGGTGGTTCTGTGGGGGACAGCAAACATGGTGGTTCTGTAGGGGCACAGGCACCATGGTGGTTCTGTGGGGCACAGGCAATATACACGTGAACCTCATCTTGACTCCATGGGGGGACGGGCAACATGGTGGTTCTGTGAGGGACAGCAAACATGGTGGTTCTGTAGGGGCACAGGCAACATGGTGGTTCTATGGGGGACAGGAAACATGGTGGTTCTGGGGGGAACAGGCAACATGGTGGTTCTGTGGGGGCAGCAAACATGGTGGTTCTGTAGGGGACAGGGAAAATGGTGGTTGGGGGTCTCATGCAATTTACACGTGAACAACATCTTGACTCCGGGGGGGCACAGGCAACATGGTGGTTCTGGAGGGGACAGGCAACATGGTGGTCCTGTGGGGGACAGCAAACATGGTGGTTCTTTAGGGGGACAGCAACATGGTGGTTCTGTAGGGGCACAGGCAACATGGTGGTTCTGTGGGGGGACAGGCAACATGGTGGTTCTGTGGAGGGACAGGCAACATGGTGGTTCTGTTTGGGACAGCAACATGGTGGTTCTGTAGGGGATAGGCAACATGTGATGGTTATTCTGTAGGGGACAGCAACATGGTGGTTCTGTGGGGGATAGGCAACATGGTGGTTCTGTAGGGGGATAGGCAACATGGTGGTTCTGTAGGGGATAGGCAACATGGTGGTTCTGTAGGGGGACAGCAACATGGTGGTTCTGTAGGGGGACAGGCAACATGGTGGTTCTGTAGGGGACAGCAACATGGTGGTTCTGTAGGGGGATAGGCAACATGGTGGTTCTGTAGGAGGACAGGCAACATGGTGGTTCTGTAGGGGGACAGCAACATGGTGGTTCTGTAGGGGGATAGGTAACATGGTGGCTCTGTAGGGGCACAGGCAACATGGTGGTTCTGTGGGGGGACAGGCAATGTGGTGGCTCTGAGGGGGACAGGCAACATGCTGGCTCTGTAGTGGCACAGGCAACATGGTGGTTCTGTAGGGGGACAGCAACATGGTGGTTCTGTAGTGGCACAGGCAACATGGTGGTTCTGTAGGGGCACAGGCAACATGGTGGTTCTGTATGGGGCACAGACAACATGGTGGTTCTGTGATGGGTGTCGGGGTGGCAACAAGGTTTGACGTTACACCACCTGCATCCAGAACCGCCTAAGATACACGTAAGATACTAAGTTAATGTTCATGCAGATTTGTACACTGGTATATAAGAGGCGTCCGGCTATGTGTTCTATATCATTATACAGGCTCCCTCAATTCAATCATAACCATTTGTGATACAATCTTCAGCCGCAACCATTTTTTCAGATCTTCATGGCTCCTAATAAACAGTTTGTGAGATTAACTCACAGATTTATTGGAATTTCTACATATGACTTTATTTAAACCAGACACAACTGTAACTTGATACACATGTTTTAATTTCTACCCAGCGTCATAACGCCTTTATACAGCAGGAGCTTCCTCCCCGGGGGAACATTAGCCGCGGGATGACTCAGGGGGGATGCGACGAGCTGCTTTGTCATTCACTTTATCACCTGAAAGATTGATCTCACCTGCAATAAGGGTTTCTCTCACCTCGCTCAGGTAACACTCCTTATCAATCACGGCAAATGTAAACATATCAAAGATAAGTGATCACCGACGTCGTCGTCATAATAACAATTTATTACGAAAATATTTTCATTGGAACCGAGCCGTGGCCATTATCTAAGTAGGTGTCAACCCGATATATCGTTTCTTCCTATTTCCGGCAGTGTTCGCCTGAGTGATTTCACTCCACGATGAGCTCATAAAGACACTGACTAGATGGAGGCCTCCATTGAAGGCTTTCACCCCATTACTGAAATAAACAGTCGGTCGACTCATTTGCCGCTCTACTAATTGCTGCTGCCAGCGTTGAGCCATCTTCACAATGGAGGATGACTTCGACAGGAAATCACGCACCAACAATGCGGTGTTTTATTGTGAAATTCCCTCTTTGTTGATACGAAACTTCGGCTGTAATAAATGTTTCAATCATTGATGACTTTCAGCAGCAAGGTGACATTCAAGCGCCCTCGGAGGATACGGGTACGTTTTGGACATAAATTGATTTTTTGAAAGACATGCAGAAAGCAGGACTGACAGACAACAAGACAGACAGGCCGACACCTGGTGTCAGTTGTTGGCCACAAACTGTCCCATCACAATCACAGGTGTGATGATACCTGACGTCACCAGATGGCCCACTCTGTCCACCAAGAACGGTGTGGTGACACCCTGTGTTTGTAGACAGTGCTCACACTGTCCATCACCAACAGAGACGAGATGACAACTGACATCAGCCGAAAGCCAAACGCGATCCATCACTATCATGGGCACACTGACTCCCGGTATCAACTGACGGTCCAAACATTCTACACCACTGGCATGATAACACCTGGTGTCAGTAGGTGATGGTCATACACACTCTAACACCACTGGCATGATAACACCTGGTGTCAGTAGGTGATGGTCATACACACTCTAACACCACTGGCATGATAACACCTGGTGTCAGTAGGTGATGGTCATACACACTCTAACACCACTGGCATGATAACACCTGGTGTCAGTAGGTGATGGTCATACACACTCTAACACCACTGGCATGATAACACCTGGTGTTTGTAGGTGATGTCATACACTCACACCATTGGCATGATAACACTTGCTGTCAGTAGGTATGTCATACACACTCTCACACCACTGACGTGATAACACCTGGTGTTTGTAGGTGATGTCATACACTCACACCATTGGCATGATAACACTTGCTGTCAGTAGGTATGTCATACACACTCTCACACCATTGGCGTGATAACACCTGGTGTTTGTAGGTGATGTCATACACTCACACCATTGGTATGATAACACTTGCTGTCAGTAGGTATGTCATACACACTCTCACACCATTGGCGTGATAACACCTGGTGTTTGTAGGTGATGTCATACACTCACCACCATTGGCATGATAACACTTGCTGTCAGTAGGTATGTCATACACACTCTCACACCATTGACGTGATAACACCTGGTGTTTGTAGGTAATGTCATACACTCACACCATTGGTATGATAACACTTGCTGTCAGTAGGTATGTCATACACACTCTCACACCATTGGCGTGATAACACCTGGTGTTTGTAGGTGATGTCATACACTCACACCATTGGTATGATAACACTTTGCTGTCAGTAGGTATGTCATACACACTCTCACACCATTGGCGTGATAACACCTGGTGTTTGTAGGTGATGTCATACACTCACACCATTGGTATGATAACACTTGCTGTCAGTAGGTATGTCATACACACTCTAACACCACTGACGTGATAACACCTGGTGTTTGTAGGTAATGTCATACACTCACACCATTGGCATGATAACACTTGCTGTCAGTAGGTATGTCATACACACTCTAACACCACTGACGTGATAACACCTGGTGTTTGTAGGTAATGTCATACACTCACACCATTGGTATGATAACACTTGCTGTCAGTAGGTATGTCATACACACTCTCACACCATTGGCGTGATAACACCTGGTGTTTGTAGGTGATGTCATACACTCACACCATTGGTATGATAACACTTGCTGTCAGTAGGTATGTCATACACACTCTAACACCACTGACGTGATAACACCTGGTGTTTGTAGGTAATGTCATACACTCACACCATTGGTATGATAACACTTGCTGTCAGTAGGTATGTCATACACACTCTCACACCATTGGCGTGATAACACCTGGTGTTTGTAGGTGATGTCATACACTCACACCATTGGTATGATAACACTTGCTGTCAGTAGGTATGTCATACACACTCTAACACCACTGACGTGATAACACCTGGTGTTTGTAGGTGATGTCATACACTCACACCATTGGTATGATAACACTTGCTGTCAGTAGGTATGTCATACACACTCTAACACCACTGACGTGATAACACCTGGTGTTTGTAGGTAATGTCATACACTCACACCATTGGTATGATAACACTTGCTGTCAGTAGGTGATGTCATACACACTCTCACACCACTGACGTGATAACACCTGGTGTTTGTAGGTGATGTCATACACTCACACCATTGGCATGATAACACTTGCTGTCAGTAGGTATGTCATACACACTCTCACACCACTGACGTGATAACACCTGGTGTTTGTAGGACTAATCATCACACACTCTCACACCATTGGTATGATAACACTTGCTGTCAGTAGGGATGTCATACACACTCTCACACCATTGGCGTGATAACACCTGGTGTTTGTGGGACTGGTCATACACACTCTCACACCATTGGCGTGATAACACCTGGTGTTTGTGGGACTGGTCATACACACTCTCACACCATTGGCGTGATAACACCTGGTGTTTGTGGGACTGGTCATACACACTCTCACACCATTGGCGTGATAACACCTGGTGTTTGTGGGACTGGTCATACACACTCTCACACCATTGGCGTGATAACACCTGGTGTTTGTGGGACTGGTCATACACACTCTCACACCATTGGCGTGATAACACCTGGTGTTTGTGGGACTGGTCATACACACTCTCACACCATTGGCGTGATAACACCTGGTGTTTGTAGGTAATGTCATACACTCACACCATTGGTATGATAACACTTGCTGTCAGTAGGTATGTCATACACACTCTCACACCATTGGCGTGATAACACCTGGTGTTTGTGGGACTGGTCATACACACTCTCACACCATTGGCGTGATACCACCTGTTGTTCGTGTAGATTGTCGATACCCAGATTAGCTCTCAACGACACAGAAATAGATACAAGAAAGCTCACAAAACACTCACTCATATTTCAGTTTTCTGTGTAAAAGGCCATATATAATTAATTACAAAGTAACGCTTCTGGGCAACTTCAATGTTTCCATGAATAATTATTTTGAAAGGCATAATGATCTTCTTAAATCTTGAACTATATTTTGATTTGTTTTATGCACGTGTGATATCTACAATGTTCATTGAAAACATTAGCGGGAAAAGAAACATAGTGTAAGTTGTTTTTTAATGAGCACTAACAAGTCGATTGACATGGTATGTCAAACATCTCATGATCTGTACAAAGCGCTTCATTCGGGTTTCAGAGGGGTGTGATGGAGGAGTTTGGTTGGGCGGTGTTGTGTAAAGTGTGTGGGGTGGTGGGATGTGGTGTGTGGTAGGAGATGTTATTGTGATTACCTCATGAAATACCCCTAGCTCCTACTTAAATACAATTAATTGTTGGTCAGTTGGTTATAGTCGATGTCCGACAGCTACATGCTCGTGTTTGCCACACACCAGCCCTTAAGCTGACACGCCCCCTTAGGACCCTCTCACGGGCGGAGCGTTACGGTATTGCGTGTCTTATTGGTTTATAAGACGGACTAGGAACGACTCTGCCCCCTCATGCCACCACCCCCCTTCACCACTGTCTCCACTTCCCCCCTTACCACATCACTTTCCTAATGAGCTGGATGGGTTCAAAAGATTGTCTACCAAGCGAACTTCCCATTGGGAAATATTAAAACTCAAAACACAAATACAAATAGGCTGACGAAGTGGGGACTAATCTAATAGAAATCATATGTAGTCTTGATTCCCTTCAGTCGACCGGCTTTCATCGTAGCACCAATATCTCTGATTAGATATCAATTATTTACGCACAAAGTTTACAGATACAACGAACGCTTTCATCATAGCTAGCAATTAGTAGACCACTCTTCAACTCCACACGAATACAGCTAAGGGAGAAACAAAGATGGTCCGAGCACTAGCAATAAGAGGTAATGTTCTCTCCACAATGGTCAGAGGGACGGGGGTCCAAGCTGACCTCATGAACCAATGATTATTAGGGGCTTTCCCCAGCTCACCTGGCGAGAAACGAGCCTTCCTTTTGTAAGACATGCATAATGTAGAAACACTCGTAGAGATACTAGCTCCCTCGCCGGGAGGCGGTTTGGGGTGGATGGGTGAGGCAGTGGGGTGAGGGGTGGCAGAGAGCGTGTTGGCGGACGGTTGGGAGATCAAGCTGGCTACTTCATCCGTCGGATCATCCACGAGCACCATCTCACGTCGTCGAGGGAACATTTGAACCACGCTCCATGAGAGGCGGCAGAGTAATCACCAACAACCTAGCGTAAGCCAGGGTAACTGTAGGTTACATAACAATGACGCTCTAATCCTCGGTGGAAGCTCGCTAGCTAATGGCCAGGAAAACCCCAGTAGCCACATTTCCCTTAGAAATCCAGTAGTCATATTTCTGGTTGAGAACGCAGAAACATAGTTCAGTAGCCATATCATCTGGAAAACTCCAGCTCCTGAATCATACCATCCACACAAACCCAACATTATATCTCCTATCGACTTTTAATAAGCTATTGTATGGTAGCCCTTTAGAAGTAAAACATACGTGTCCTTGATCTAGGCCTTTTGGAGTCATTGATAATGACGACACGTGTTTCACGGTGTTTTTGATTGTATATTAAAATAGTTCCAGTTTATGAAAGAACATTATAAGAACTATTGAAATGTTTAAAAGGTAGTCAATGTATTGACCAGATCTTGTCAACGTCGTTGTACCACAGCGACGTCAATGCAGCTGCCTGTCACCCCTGCTGCTCAAGGTGCCATGCATCTAGGTCAATAGGTTTTCATCCATGCGATTCACGAAGCAGTTGATGCACATCACGATCTGGTTTCGCCGCCCCATAAACCGCGCCATATGTGTAGCACCGTCACCTCGGGCTACAAGTTTATACTACCTGAAACAAGAGTACACTAGTTGTCTTGCACGTAGAACCCGTACGGGAAGAGTAACTAATGAATGTTTCTGGGAGGTTTGGATCATTTATTGAAACA